ACTTTAATTTGAAAGCTTTCCACCACAGTATAGTGTATGTACAGTATTAACACTGAGAGGCCTTTTTAGAATGAGAATACTCATTCTGTAGAGTTTTGTCTGAGGCCCACAGCATATTAAAACAAACTTGTAGTCCAATCATTTAGGAACAAGTTTGTGTTTCAATCTCAGTTTTTTTAAAATGCTTTATCTATTATTGAGGTAGAAAGAGTGTTTATTTTTAACAAGGAGTCATTACTAGGGAAAGGATAAAGACCTTGCATTGTATATTGTTCAATAAAAAAATACACCACTTGTTAAAGTAATGTGAGTAGACCATTATAGTGTAGCTGAATCAAATCAGAAAGTTAAACATTTAGATTTATTTGCATACATTAAAAGAATTTAACAATGCAAACACAAGTCATATTTTCCTTTTATTTATTTCCTGGATTTCGATCATTTTGCCCCATATGTTTAATACTGGGCATTTAAAGCAGTTAAGGGTGTTGAGCATTTATTATTTTTTGAGCTTTAGAATTTCACTGTTATGCATAGTTTATTTTCCCATTATTATTAACCTTGTTTTCACCCTCTGATTGACTTTTGACCTTTCAACCTCTGCCCCTTCTCCAGATCCCAAGGATTATCAACCTCAAGCCCAGCCGTGGGCCAGTCTCTGGGGGAACCATTGTCAACATCACTGGCAGCCACCTTGATGCTGGGAGCAATGTGTCAGTCATGTTTAAAGACCAGCCATGCACTTATCTGAGGTTAGTGGAGAACAATCCAGAGCTGATCCTGCCAAACACACTTAAACAGTCAATTAAAAGCTCAGTCAAAGCTAGTGTTAGTCAAACTGCAAGTAGTAAACCCATCTGACAGTTCTCAGATCAATCAATTAACAATTAAATGTCATGGAAGAAAAAAGATGTGGTGAAAGCATGTCTTCTTTTTTAATAAAATAATTTTCTCTAATCTTTTTTGCATTAAATTACTGGAAAAAGACTATAGTATTATTGTAATCCACCACTTAACACTGATCAATGCGTAATTCTAAGTTCAGTCAATAAACTATCTATCCATGTCTGCTCAAGCAACCATTCAACAAGTCTTAAATATTAAATTAATATTGGTTTTTGAATCGTTTAGTACAGTGATAAACAACTAGAGAAATGACCCATGAGTGTCTACACAATGTTGGATAAAAATCTATATTAGGTAACTGTACTGTCTATAACTAACTAATTCAACTAATTTTTCATCATCCTATCATCTCTTTAGGAGGGGTGGGCAGTGGCTCACTTGCAGAACTCATGCTTCCTTGCATGGCTATGGAAACGTGTCTGTGTCTGTGAGCATAGACAAGGCTCATCTCCAGAAAGACCTGCGGTTTGAGTATGTGGAAGATCCCACCATCACCAAGATAGAGCCTGAGTGGAGCATCTACAGGTATGGTACAAGGGCACATTTCAGTCAGTTATCTTTTTTGTGGAGAGAAATATCCCAGCAAAGCAGACACTGTTTTAACCATCTAAAACTGGATCATTTACACAGAAATTTACAGCATCATAATTTTGCACCAGCACTGTCCAAGCATCAATATCACTCCCAGTGAGTAATGTTATCACCATCTGTCAAAACAATCTGAACTACCCTTTTAACCTTGTTGTCAATCTTCTCTCTCTCGCACACACAGTGGATATACCCCAGTGACAGTGACAGGAACTAACCTGGACATCATACAGACCCCACTCATCAGAGCCAAATATAACAACCATGAGACACTCAATGTAAGTGATTGTGAACACAAACAAAGAAAATCCAAGGTCCTCAAGGAGTACTTTTTTGTTATGTTTTTTGTTACACTTTTATTTGACATCTTTATTTGTTTTGCTCCTGTGGTCAGAAATAAACACACATTTATATACAGTATACACACAAACACACACACAC